GCTCTCGCCAGCTTAATGGCTCGGGTTGTGTCCCAGCTCTTGGCGCGGATCAGGCAGTGTCCCCGCTGCCGCCTTGCAAAACGCCCTGGCGAAAGGCGGGATGCGGCGCCTTGCTGGGAGCGCCGGGATGGGCAGTGCCGGGTCCCTGTGTCCGCACGGCCGGGCTGGGGAAACGCGCCCAGAGGAGGCCCTGGCGCCGGGCATCGCTGCAGCCTGCACGTGCATCCGCAGAGCCCGGGGTCTCCTCCGCGCATCCGCCTGCGCAGCCGGCAGCGCTGAGCTCCCCTCGCTGCAGCCCGGGCAGCTGCTGCAGCCCCGGGGGGACGGACAGACAGACACCAGCGAGGCAGGGAAGCTCAAAACACACATTCCTGCAGTTTTATAGGGGCATTAAACCATTTCCAGACTTTTCCAGCACAGGCCACACGAAGGGAAGGAGCCGGGGGCAGCGAAGGGAGAGGGTGCCGGTGATGCCGGTGATGCCGGTGATGCCCGGGGAGGCGCGGGAACCCCCTGCCAAGAGGCTAATGTGCGGCCGGCAGGATTACTGTGGGCTGGATCAGACGCTCGGCATTAATGGGATTATACCCTGGGAATGGCAGGGAAAACACAGACGCGCTGCTCCGGCGGAGCATCCCGCGCTCCCCGCGCCGTGGGATGGCTGCGGCAGAGCGAGCTGCTCTCCCCTGTGCTGAGGATGGAGCCAGAGCATTCCTGGCCTTCGGGAAGAGCCTGTAGGACCCGCTCCGTGTTTCTGATGGCACAAAACACCAGACAGCCCTCCTGCAGCCCATGGAATGAGGTGGTGAATGAAACAGAAAGCCGAGAGCCGGCAGGTCCTCACCGCGCTGCCCTTGAGCCCTGCAGGCAAAGGAAACCTTTCAGTGAGCTCTAGGAGCGCTGGAGAAAACCCTCCATTTCCATGGAAACACAAAGCCTTCAGGTGTCCAACACGGAGGTCCCCAGCACATTCCTCCCGAGAGCCGGGAAGCTTCCTAGGTCACATTCCCCACCACGGGGATTAGCTGCAGAGCCGGGTGGAGCACAGGCCACCTCCGCAGCCCACAGCGATGCCGCTTCCCGCCGCATCCTGGTGCACTGGGACGGTGGATTTGCACCCACTGCTCCCAGAGCGCAGGGGAGCAGCAAGCAGAGGCGCTGGGCAATGGATGCACCCCTGCTCCTTGCTCCGTGATCCCTGCTCCATGATCCCTGCTCCTTGCTCCATGTCCCCTGCTCTTTGCTCCATGATCCCTGCTCCATGATCTTTGCTCCTTGCTCCATGATCACTGCTCCTTTCTCCATGATCCCTGCTCCAGCACATCTCACCAACCAGGCAGGCCCCTTCCTTGCACAGGCTCCCCAAAGCCACCAGAGATGCCACCTCTGAGGCCAGGCCTTGGCCACCCCGTGTCCGTCCSTCGCTCCCTGCCCTCCGCGCGGCCCGGAGCAGCCGCCCCGGGCTGGCAGCGCGTCCCGCTCGGCAGGCACCGGGGCTTTGTAATAATCTGTTACCCGATCTGGACTCCTCTGGCCTTTCGGTGCAGGCGGACAGTCCTTCAGGCCCGTTCGGGGACTATGACTCACTGAAGAAGCACTTCAAATCCATCCTTGGTGATAAGGTTGAGCTATGTGCAGCACATTTCCTGCCCTAGTTTGGAGCTTTGCTCGCACCGCCTGCACCTCCTCGCCTAGCCCACCTTCCCCTTTTTGTTGCAAACTCTCCCCAACGCTGACCCCAAACCCGCCAGAGCCTCGGGACAGGAGTCGGGGCTCGGCAAGCTGCACCAGGGCTGCGGCTCAGCGCGGATCCGTGAGCAACGCCTTGTTTCCAAAGGCCCCCGAAAGTGGGAATTGGATGAGGAAAGGCAGCTGGGATGGAGGAAACGGGGTGCGGGACAGGACCCGTGTGGGAAGCCGTGGGCACCAGCAGGAGCCTGTGCGAGGGCATCGCTCCGCAGCACCATGCAAGATGGGAACCTGCTTTGCATTAGGGAAACGAGGATTCCTAATGCTCAGGCATCGATCATATTCCTAGCGAGACGGAAATATAAATCCTCATAACATCGGCCGCGAGGATCCGCCTCCCTGACATGCGAACGAAGCCGGAGCTTCCCGGCCAGAGCCTGTGTTTGTACAAGTGCTCCGGTCAAAGTATGTGCAGGATTTGGCCCTATTCGCCTATTTTTATAAATCATAGGAAAAAATCTCCATTTAGAGACAATGCTAGAGATATACCTGATAGTTTCTTCCCTTGGCCACACACCACTTGGCAACAGAGATGAAATCCTGGCTTTGCAAAACATTTCCAAACTTGTTTCTGTTCCAGCTGAGAATCGCCCACCCCAAAGATTTCCAGGTTATCTGCAAAGAAAACCCAGAGGAATGGATGCCTTGAAATGCTTTTGCTGATAAACCAGAAATATATTATTTTAACTGCAATTTTGTTTTGCATTATAATGCGGAATAAAAAGTCATTAGCAACCCAAGGACAAAAAGTCACTGGAAATGGAAAAGACTGTTTTGAAACCTCAGAGCTGGAAGGTTTCTGCACCCTCAGGACCACCCTCCCTTTCCCCAAGGGCTTGATAGAGTTTCACCAAACATTTCAATTTGGAGGTGCTGCAGTTTTGGGGGCAGCAAAACTGCCCCCCCTGCCTGGGGCAGCCAAAAGGGGCCGTGAAAACCCCTCCAGGAAGACGGTGCTGTGTGAGGCAGCACAGCCTGAGCTTGGCCARCGGCACCAAGGAGCAGAAATACCACTAGGAGATTGAGGAATAATGCAAGGAGCAAAGGGAATGGCTAGAAATGGAGATCCTCTCCAGGGRATGTGAGGGAACCGGCTGCGCGGGGCGGGTGCTGCAGCCGCAAGGGGCCCCTGGTCACCCCGATGGCACCGTCCCCACCGCGCTCGCGTCCTGCCCAGGGCTGGTGCCAGGTCACAGAGCCACGTGCRGGACTTGGCCGCATCAGAAACAGGCTTGTGGTGAGGTCGGCGGGAGGGTCGCTCCRGGACGCGGTTTCCCTTGGGAATTCCGCAGGCTCCACGGGAGCGCTCAGAGCCTCCTCTGGGCACAGCAAGGGCACCCCMGGGTGCCCCACAGCCCCTGCCCGCAGTGCTCACAAGCAGCCGGTGCCTTTGCGGGACCGCTGGGCCATGCGGGGGGTGCCCAGGGGCTCCCCCTGTTTGGGACCAGGCAGCCCCCTTGGCCCGGGCTGCAGCCCCCTTGGCACGAGAGCAGCCGTGGCCTCCAGCGCCCGGGCGGCGGGAGCCTCCGGAGGCACCGACCTGCTGCGGGAGCCGGGGCCGCTGCCTTTGAAGTTAATGAGTGGCGCGAGGCTGGGAAAGCAGAGCCGGGCTGCTCTGCCGGCCGCGGCGCACACGGGCATCCGCAGGGGCAAAGAGAGCAACGCGGGACCCCCGAGAGGGGCAGGGGCTGCCCTGGCCCCCAGCCCGGCCGCAGGGGAGGAGCAGCCTGGGACAGAGACAGGGATCCCCACTCGGTCATTCCCTTCCCTCGGGATTCACTTCCCTTGGAGGAAAGCATCAAAATAAGGAAGGAGGCTGTTGGAGAAACCCAGCACCCTGGATGCAAGGGTCGTCCCTGTCCCTGGAGCACAGGGGACAGAGGACTCGCTCTCCCACCTTGGAATAAAAAACACGGGGGACAGAGAAACCCCCATGGCACAGCACAGCGAGCAGCAGAGGCAGCAGCGAGGCTCCTGCCGAACACGCAGCCCTCGACAGCAGTCTATAAATATCGGGCTTTTCAGAGCAATAGCTCCACAATAAGCTGCCATACAATATCCCGCTTAGGCTCTGAGACAAAAGGCGAGCACCCTGCCAGCACTTGCTTTCTGTCACTGCAGTTTTCAGGAGCTTAATTGGATTAAAACCAAGTAAGAACTTCTGGCCTGGGTTTCCCTGAGGCCAGGCAAGCCATGGGTGGATCTGCACCAGCGGGACCGCAAGGGAAGCGAGCAGGGAGGCCGGCCGGGGATGCAGGGAGCTCCCAGGTGAGCTCGGTCTTTGCAAGTGGCCGGAGCAGAGCTCGCAGTGGTGAGGAAGGGGCGATAGAGCCCAGGGCCATGGGTGCCTGGCCCTCCATCCTGCGTGTGGAGGTGGTAGCTGCAGGAGAGGGGCGATGACCCCCGTCACGGTCAGCAAAGGGCCGAGACCASAGGACTTTTCTGCAGGCCGGGTGCACGTGGGCACGAAGCACTGGCAGGGAGTGCCAGGGAAGGGCAGGTGCTCAGGCACAGCCTCCACCTGCAGGTCCTGGAAGCGATGGGAAACCAGGAGCTGCCACCGGCAACAAGCTTCCCAAGCACCACGGCCCTGCATCCCTCTCATCCCACTGGGCCCCTGGGACCCCCCTGGACACCTCCCCAGGAAAGGGGCAGCCCAGAGGATGCCCCGGGCAGCACCGGCCRCTGCCTGTGCACAGGAGCCGTGGGCCAAGGCCAGGAGCAGGGTGCAGGGACGGCCGCCCCGATGGCTCCTCACCGTGCAGGGACAGCGCACGGGGCGAGAGCCGCTCCCGCTCCCGCTCCSGTCCGGCGGGGCCCGACGGCGGCCCCGGCGCTGCCCGGGGCGGCAGGTGGGGGCGGCCCGGGGGGGCAGGGGCCGCGGGGAGGGGGCTCGGGGTGGCCGGAGCGGCGGCTCCGCGCGCTGACTCTGCCCAATGAGAACCCGCAGCCGCCCCGAGCTGTCAATATTTGGCCGCGGCCCCCGCGCTCCCATCCCCAGAGCGTCCTCGCCCTGCGCGCACGCAGCGCCCCGGCCCGCTCCGCTCCGCGCCGCGCCGCTCCGCTCCGCGCGGGGGGCCCGCAGCCCCCGCAGCCCCGCGGAGCCCCCGCCGCCCCCCGCAACATGCGCCCCGCGGCGGGGGCCCGGCCGGGGCGGGCTGAGCCGCGCCGAGCCCGCAGCCCGGAGCCGGGGCTCTGAGCGCCCCGAGGGGACCGAGGGGACTCGTTCGTGCGCCTGGCAGCGGCCCCGCAGAGATATGCTGAGGCCAGCCCGCGAGCCTCCCGCGATTGCCTTGGCCCCCGGGCGCGCGCACTGCGGAGCCTTCGCCGGGCCGGCGGGCGCGGCCCCGCGGATTTACCTGCCCCTCGTGCTGCTCGTGCTGCTGGCGCTGCCGCCCCGCGCCGACTGCTCCTGGTGGTGAGTCCCGCGGCACCGGCGCGCCGAGGGCGCCACGCGACCCACGCGCGGGCGCGGGGCGGCGGCTCTGCCCCGCCGGGCGCGGAGCTGCGACGGCTCCCGGGCTCCGGCGGCTCCCCGGGCTCCGCAGCCGCCGTTGCCTCCGCAGAGGCAAGCCGGGAACCCGCCGCCCGCGCCGTCAACCTGCCGCGGAGGTGGCCGCCGCTCCCGGTGCCGCCGCCGCCGCTCCCGGTGCCGCCGCCGCCGCTCCCGGTGCCGCCGCCGCCGCTCGGGCCGCTCCGCGGGCAGCTCCCGCTCCCGTCCCGCCCGCCGCGTCTCGCGCCGCTCCCCCTTTAGGGGCTCCCAGGGCTGAGCACGACGGGCTCTGTGACAGCCCCAGGGATGCCCTAGGAAAGGGCTGAGGCAACGGGAACATGCAGCCTTCTAGAAACAGATCTCTACCCGTGCTGATTCCTCTAGGAATAGACTAATTCATTGATGCAGAGTGAGAGGAATTAGGAAAATTGGGAATGAGGGAGTTTCCAAGTGACCCCTGTACTGTTGTAGTATTCCAATAACAACCAGAAAAAAAAAATATGTTGGCTGCAGAAAAGTTCTCCTAAAGTCCTCTCTAAGCTCGCACGAAACACTGCTTTGCACATCAATCTAGCCAGGGTTAACATATGGCAGCGAGTGAAGCTGAACTTAATCAAATCCCAGCCGTCCGAGCCCGAAGGAGAAGCCGCGGTGCCCGGCATTCCCTGACTGTCCTGGCTACATTGCGAGGGGCTTTACGGTCATGCCGATAACACGATTTGCGCTGAGTGTATCTGGCTGCAGGGCAGGCAGCGAGCAGCGCGGTGGCGTGAGCTCCAGTGCGGGATCAGCGGGGGAGAGGGGAACGGGAAGCTCCGGGCGGGAAGGGGCCCGGGCACTTGGAGCCCACCGGGAGCTCTGCTCCCCAGGGGCTGGCAAGCAGGGCCCGGGGGCGGATTGAAGGAAGAGCAGCTGCTTCCGAAGGCAGCACGGGCTCCTGGGCACAAAGATAGCTCAAACTCTCATCAGCAGGCGCTCCCCAGCTGTAGCCAGCGGAGATCTCCTGCAGCCCATGGGGCTGAAATCACTGGTGAGAAAATGAGTCACCAGCCACAAGGATCAGGTTGATAGAAGCTCTGGCCCGGCTTCCAGCCCCCCAGTCTGCCCCCACCCATCGGGGCAGGACAACATCTGCGTGGAAGGTGCAGTCACTGATGTGCCAAAAGCCAAGGAAGGAAGAGTCTTGGGGTGGTGGAGAAGTTGGAGTATTTCACTTAATAACCAAGGAAGCAAGAGCAAGGGAGGCTCATGCTCTAACCAGAACTAGGCAAGGGGGTGAAGTACTTGGAAGGACACCAGGACACTAACTAGTCACAGTTTGATCCACTCCTAGCTGGAATAGTTCTATTGCACGCTCAGATGTGGGCAGAAATACATTTTTTTTTTTTTTTTTTTGGTAGAGAAAAAAATATCCCTTTTTCTTGCTCTTATACCTGACTTCTCCCTGCAAATAACTCCATCACGGTGCCTCCCGTGCTCCCAGACGTCGTCCTTTCCCAAATCCGCAGCAAAACCGGGTACATTTCAAGCCTCTGTGACTGTGGTTTGCCTGGAAGAGCTGGGTTAGTGCTCGCTGCACGCTGCACTTTGCAGACAAACTCCCGGCTTGGCAGTGCCGCGCTCACGGGAGAAAGGAGAGCGATTCCGGGGCAATTTCCAGGGTAATTGGGGCCGTTGCGTGTGCTGGTGCTCGGCCTGGAGCAGGCTGGAGAGCAGCAGCTCCTCTCCGCGCAGCCCGATGCTTTCAGCTATTCCCTTTGGTRCAGCCAAGCACAATTCTTCCGAATGTTTTCATAAAGCAGAATGGGTTCCAGTGACCTTTAAATAGATATATATATATATATTTTATATATATATATATTTTAATTAAAACCTAAACATTTTAAAATGGAAAGTTCTTGTTTTACATTTTGCTTTCTTTTTTATGTAGACGAGAACATTCCTAAGAGAAACCTTCATCGAAACGAACGCTTTTCTGCTGTACATGTCAGCTCTGATAAAATAGCMTGTTTAGACGAAATTGGGTTTTACTGAAAATGGTTTCAACCAGCTGTGGTTTGGGAAAATGTTATTCAGTGATTTACATAGGTTTCCAAACACATCTTTAGCACTACTGATATTACAGTAAATACATTTGGTGGTGCATCATCATTCCTTATTTTTATTATTATTGCCAAATTCTTCTAGGGATTCTCRCACAATAAACTTGTGGAAATAGAGGAAATGCTTCTCGTGTTCGGAGTCAACTTTTAAAGTCGATTAACAGAAAAACAAAAAGCGGGTCAGTTCTGATCGCAGTCCGCGGAGAGGAAATATCAACCAAATGTTTCTTCTAAACAACTGCAAATTATTAATTTGGGGTGACGTCAGGCGGAGCGCGGGAGCAGCCGCCGCGGGGCCGGTGCCGGCGGCTCCGGGTGCCGAGCGGGAGGATGGCGGGGCCGCCCCRCGGGCCTCCAAAATTCCTCCTGGAGTGTGTGGGAGATGAGGCAAAGGCTGCTTATAAACACGAGCCGTGCRATAAACAAGCGCGGGTAAAGAAGCGCGCGGGCTGGGGCGGCCGCGCGTGTGGAAGCGCGTTGAGCCGGAGGCTTTGGCGCGGGGAAGGCGCCCCGGGCGCGCGCCGCGAGCCCCCACGCCGCAGCCTCGCCGCTTGTTTACCGCCAGCCACAGCCCTTGGAAACTACAAATATTTAGCTTCATCTGCGGGGGAGCAGATGGGAGGCATCAGGCTCCCGGAGAGATCAAACACACGCGGGGAAGGGAGCCGGAGCTCGGCCACGCGCGGCTCCCGGGCGCCCTGGGCGCCCGGCGCTCCGGCGGCGCCGGCATCGCGGCACGGAGCGGGCAGGCGCTCCTAGGAACACGGGGACAACGTGGGCACGGGATGAGCTCCGTGCAAGGGGAAGCAGGGAGGTGCCCACGGAGGCTGCATCCTCCTTGGGAGCCGTGGAGTCCATTCCCGAGGGGATCTCCAGCACCAAGGTCCCGCAGCAGGGCAGGGAGAAGGGGACTGTCCATCGTGCCAGGGGAGCAAGGGCTTCCAGGGCTCTTCCTCCCTGGATTCGCTCTTTTRCCCGGCCCCAGCGCCAAGCCGTGGTGCAGGAGCACTGCCGGAGCAGCGTGACGGGAGCTCGAGCCCGCACACGTGTGACGAGAGGATCCAGAGGAGAGAGGGGCGCATTCAAACAGGCCCCATCTCGAGGTGTGTGGGAGGGGAAATAGCATCAACAGGAATGTTTGAAATGGAGCCAAGGGAAAGACAGCTGCAGGAGAAGAACTTCACAGCGAGCCGGCGTAACCCTTCGGGGTATGTGTGGGTGGCACTGGCCGCCCTCCACGCCAGCCCCCGCGCACCAGCGGTGACGGCACCTTCGGTGACGGCACCTTCGGTGACGGCACCTTCGGTGACGGCACCTTCGGTGACAGCTCCGTGGACCTCCATGGTGACCGGTTGACTTGGACGAGACCGTCTCCAAAGGGCCCGTCAAGCCTCGGGGACTGACACCGCTCCCGTGCATCCCCATGCAGGACCACGTCCCTGCTCCCGATCCCATGGACACGCTGCGGGCACGGAGCCGGCTGCACGGCCGCCCTAGCAAAGTGCTTCGCCTGGTATTAATCGTGGGAGGTCAGTGACCGGGAAGTCTTTATCCCGGAGTGCTCCGCGGCTCCAGCCATGCAGGCAGCCCTCRCTTTGAAATGCAAGTTTGAAAGGAACATCAGGCTGATGGAAAAGGAGCTCCCTGGCCTSCGCCGCAGTTCTGGTGCTCACTGGTGGGAGCACGTTGCAACAGATGGGTTCCCTCAACCACGGTGCTCCATTATAATAATCCTAATTGTGCTGCTTAGCTCATTTTTCATTAGGGTCGTTTTCACCTATAGGGAATATTTCTTAAGAAGAACCACACAAGAGCAAATTCTCTCTGGTACTTAAGGATAAAGAGCACTTTTGATCAGCAATTTGTATTGCCTCCATGCATGACCAAAAAGGTCATCAGAGAACAGTTTTCAGCTCTCGCCGCACTAGATTTTGGCTCTGTTGCTGCACTAGATTTTGGTCGATATTGCAGAAGGCCCCAGGGAAGGCACTGGGCTTCCTCCCTCCTTCTGCATCTCCCCTTGCCGTGCATGGCCCAAGGCTTCCAGGCTTGGCTGATGACCAGCTCTCCACACAGCGCATCTTGCCTTGATGCCACAGCCAGCGGATGGGACCACGGACATCCGATGTCCCCGGGACCAGGCGGAGCAGAGCGTCGGCAGCACGGGGCATTTCCAAGCACTTCCAGGCTTTTCAAGAACAGCCCTTTCCACAGTAAACTCCTCTGCAAGCTGCTCACCAAAGCAAGGAAATCACAGRGACTCCACCAGAGAATCAAACGATAGCGGCTGGAAAAATGCTGAAATACATGAGAAAAAAAGAAATGATCACAGTGCAAAGAAGGAGGGACGCGCACATTGCACAGGCTGGTAGTGGCCCAACATTATGCTATTAAAAATTATCCAAGTGAGACTAACACTCTCAGTACACAGAGTAGTGGCTCTAAGTGAGGAAATTAGGACTATTAATCATTCCAAGGCGTTAACAATTCCAGCAGGCCAGGATGGCCCTGTTCCCAGTGGGGCTTAATAAAATACTCAGGGTTTATAATAATAAAATAATATCTCAAATGTCCATAGCACCTTGCAACCCAAGGCGCTTTGCAATTTGCTATAAATTCTCTGCCCACAGCCATGGGGAACAGAGGAAGGGAAGTGCAGTATCCTTGGAAGTATGCAAGGAACTCGAGGAGGTGAAGTGTTGTCAGGCTCCTCGGAATTTGCTCTCTTTATCAGACAAAAAGGCGGGAATGATGAATTTGATCCTATCTAAAAGAAGTGTCTCCAAGAGCTGCCATGGGCTGTCCAGCCCCCCGCAAAAATGAAGCTTTCCTGGGAAGGACAGGGAAAAGAACCCAACGCAGCTTGGCCTCAAGTGGATCCACTTCAGGGATCCCCTTCAGGGATCACCCGTTATCAGATGGGCTACGGGAGCAATGGAGGAGCCGCTTCCCGCAGGATCAGGGCTCCAGCAGTGCCTCRTGCCGCTTGGCTCCTGCCAAAAGCTGCTCCGGGCAGAAGCCCTCGGCCTGGGGGCCGGGATGGGCAGGGAGCAAGGAGCTCCTGAAGGAGACAGGGACCTGCAGAGAGCGGCCCCAGGGCAGGCGGCATCGGGACAGGGGTCCCCAACACGGGGCTACTCATGGCACCGGCATGGGGCTGTCCTCACATGGTGGCATTGCCGGGAACGGAGCAGATCCAGGTGCAGGACAGGAGGCACAGGACACCGGGAGCAGCCCCGGGGCCGGGGGACACGCCGGGGGCTGAAGGCAGGTGCCCTGGCTGCCCCGTAAGGAGAGACTGTGCAAATCTAATTTAAAACCGTGCCTTTATTGCACCGGTGCAAGCCTGGCTTCTCCTCTGCAGGAGCATCCGGCTTTTCCATGGTTCTTTTAGCTCTAAAGCAAGGTTTGTCTCAGAGAGACCCTTTTGAAATCAAGTAGCACTCAAATATTTTCTTTCTATGCCATGTAAAATGATGTGAAGTGAAATACTACATACCACAGTTTATCTAAAATAGGGATGGCATTAAGAACTGATTTATAATATTATTGCATTTCTGAACAACACCTTGATGTTGCGATGAAGGGGTTACCACCTCTGCAAGGTCAGGGTGCCCCTGAAATTTGCTTTTTCCTGTAAAACACTTTCATTCCTTCTGAAATCCCTTCTCCCTCAGATACGTGTAGAGAGGGGTGAATTTATTGGCACTGCCTGTTTGCGCCAGGAGGGCTGTCCTTGCACAGGAAAAGATGCAACCAGTAAAGCTTTAGGAGTAAAACAAAATTGCCACCAACAGCTCCGAAGGGCAAAGCTCCACAGGTGTTGCAGGCGGCTGCTTATTTCCAAGCAAAACCCAAACCAAGGTCCCCTTCCAGTCACTCGCAGCACGGTCCTGCTCTGCTCCCCAGCTTCTCCCCGCTCTCGGTGCTGCTGGAAAGAGCAGAAAAAGGTGGGAAACCCCCAAGCCCTTGAGATTTGGAGCCCGATAGACTTTGCAGAGGACGGAGATGAGAAAGGGGCCACCGAGCCGGTCGGAGCCCCCGGGGAGCTCCGCACATCCCCGAGCGCGCCGCGCGCGGGCAGGCGCGGCAGCCAAGCACGYGCGCACGGAGGCGACCATGGAAAGAGGGGCAAAACAAGCCGCCCGCTGCCAAGTAAATAGATGCGTCTGCCTCCGATTTGCATGTTTATCTTAGAAGCAATTTAGGTTTCTCCTTGTTTACAAGAGTAGAAGTCAGCAGACTCTTGGAGCAAGCAAAACAACCGGGAGGCAGCGGGTGACGGCTCTCTCCTGTTCCCCACGGAACGGGAGCCGGGGCTCTCGGAGCGCGTCCCGCCGGAATCCGGAGTCGGCAGGAGGCTGCTCCGGGCAGCAAGGCGAGGAGGAGGAGCGGGAGGAAGGTGGCAGCGCCGGGATGCGGATCCCGCGACGCTCCATGCGGTTCCGCAGCCCTCGGGAGCGCAGGGCGATGGGGGCTCTGCAGAAGGAGCAGCGTGTAAAGGCAGCAAGGGGCTGCGCAGGACATGGCACCCTGCCCACAGGGGCTTCTCCTCACCATAAGGCCCAGAAAAAGCGATTTTTCACTTTGGAAGGGAGTTTTTGTTCCCCGGAGTAAAGCCTTTCACACTGGTTCACCACCCCATTTTTTAAAATAATGAAGCAGGCTGTTCCCGTAAGCAGGTTAGGGATTTCTTCAGAACGTTTATTACCCGTTTCAGCATTTTTAAATATCTTTTTTTTTTTTTTTTTTTCAGAAATACAATGGGAAGGGATATTTGAAGCAATCCAAAACAAATGTTTGGTTTTCTTTTCCCTCCCAAAATTCTGCTAGGAAGGACATTTTCAGTTGTTCCCCATCTTGCTCCATTTCACTGTAACGGAGCCTGTTGGGGAATTTCTCATGAGAYGGAGAAGCCGCCTGGATACCACAGGCTCCCCAGGACAAATGAGGAGGTTTTCCCCTTTTTGTGCCACTTTTGTGCTTGGGATACCACAGGATCCCAGGGCACATTTCTGGGATTCATCCAGCCTGGGACTGGGAGCCGGTTTGTCATCCTCCGCTCCAGCCCAAGATGACCTTGTGCTTCTGCCAGTGTCTAAACAAAATATTAAAAAAAAAAAAAAAGAAAAACAACAACAAAAAAAAGAGGAATAAACGATCCCATCGCTGCCTGCGTTTGCAGAGCTCTCCTAGGTCTGCGAGCTATCCCGGGGCTGATGGAAGTGATAGAGCATGGCCAGAGACACGATGAAATATTGCCCCAGTTTATTGCTTTTTGTTGTTAGTGAAGGGAGGGTCTTAGTTCCAAGCTGGGGGGTTGAAAAACTTGAATCCCACCCAAACCCCTTCCCTCCCAGCCAGGCTGCGGCAAAACCGGCACAAAGAATCCGCATCCCGGCCGGGGTAAACGAGGGACGGGGCGAGTTTGAACGGAGACGGAAAATTCCGCCCTCATCCCCATTGTCGGCACGGCTTTAAAGGCGTCGGGATGGAAGGAGTGGGATCCCGGGGGATGGGAGGAGCGGGATCCCTGGGATGGAAGGAGTGGGATCCCAAGGGATGGGAGGAGCGGGATCCCTGGGATGGAAGGACTGGGATCCGCATCCCGGCCAGGGATGTGCACCAGGGTTCGGGCGGCACTGGATCCCGCGAGGAGGAGGAGGAGGAGGAAGCAGCGGGAGAGGGAAGGGACGAGGGGACCGTCCGCGGAGGCCGCCACGTGTCCGTGTCCCCGCAGGTACATCGGGGCGCTGGGCGCCAGGGTGATCTGCGACAACATCCCCGGGCTGGTGAACAAGCAGCGGCAGCTGTGCCAGCGCTACCCCGACATCATGCAGTCCGTGGGCGAGGGCGCCAAGGAGTGGATCCGCGAGTGCCAGCACCAGTTCCGGCACCACCGCTGGAACTGCAGCACCCTYGACCGCGACCACACCGTCTTCGGCAGGGTCATGCTGCGAAGTAGGTGCCCGGGCGGCCGGGGGGGACGGGCTCACGCGGCGCCCAYTTTGCGGCTTGAAAATCAACAGAAAGGGCATAGAACTTCTCCCGCCAATTCCTCCTCCCGGAATATCCCTTTTCCCTAAATCACGTTTTAAAGGGAAATGCTCCTTAGGTGGGAAATGCTGCAGCTGCACGCAGGAACTTGGGCATGCAGATAGTCATGTTCTCCCTGGGGCAAGGAAGACGTTTTGCAGCAGAAAATAAGAAATCAGGCCCAGGCAAGGCGGCGTGCAACACCCAGGGGCGAGCGAGTCACTCCCTCTAGATTTACGAGCAGCTCCGCATCCAAATTCCTTCGCATCCCTGAGTCAGCAAGTGCGCGGAGGTGAGGCGGCAGCGGGGGATCCGCACGGAGAGCGGCGCTGCGGAGAAGCGGCSGCTTCTCCACTGGGGAGGCAGCGGGATGGAAGCGGGAAGGTCCCGCTGCAGMGGGGACAGGGACGCGCGGGGCCCCGTGATGCCAGCGCAGGGTCCCCTGGGGCTCCAGGGCTCCTGTGGACAGGCTGGTGCCAAGGGTTGGTGGCACCTCGTGCAGAGGGAGCTCTGCCCTTCCCAGGAGCAAGAGGGAGCGCGACGGGAGCGGGCAATGCCGAGAGCCGCACCGGGCCAGAGGGAGCGCGGCGGGAGAAGGGGAAGGAGGAGACACCTCCGGAGAACAGGCCTATATGTAAACAGTAATGGGATATATAAATATTTGGAGAGCAGCGCTGGCCAGGGATCAGCGGCTCACGTGGGCAGGCGCCGCTCCCTCGCACGGCGAGGGCGAGCGTGGGGCTCCGCCGGGAACGGCCGCGCGCTCCGGCCTGTCCCGCCACCGGGAACGGAGAGCCCCGCGCCCCGGCGCATCCCGCGCGCCCTGCTCCCTTTGAAGCTGCTTTCAAAGGCGCTCGGAACGAGGGCAGACATGGTTTTGATTTGCAGCTCCTTTCACAGCGTTTTCAAGCCAGCTGTGGGTTCAAACCAGAGCCATAGAAGCGCAGGCGTCACCGGCGCTGCCAGGACCTCCCGGTGCTGCCTGCAGGGCGAAGCCGTCCCGGCCGCTCGGGATCGCATCCGTGCCCGGCAGCACCGCAGGGACCCGGCCTGGATCCCTGGGCATCCCTAGCCAGGGCATCCCTAGCCGGGGCATCCCTAGCCGGGGCATCGCGCCTCATCCCAGCACCGCATGCGCCCTTGCTCGGGAGGGTGCAGCAGAGAAGGAGCCCAGGCCCTGGCATGGGAACCACACATTCCCAGTGCCGGAGATGCACATTCCCAGTGCCGGAGCCGTGGGAAGCCGTGGCCCCGCGCGCTCACCATCCTCCTCCTCCTCCCCCTCGCGGCAGGCAGCAGGGAGGCCGCCTTCGTCTACGCCATCTCCTCGGCCGGGGTGGTCTACGCCATCACGCGCGCCTGCAGCCAGGGCGAGCTCAAGGCGTGCGGCTGCGACCCGCTCAAGAGGGGCCGCGCCAAGGACGAGCGCGGCGAGTTYGACTGGGGCGGCTGCAGCGACAACATCAACTACGGCATCCGCTTCGCCAAAGCCTTCGTGGACGCCAAGGAGAAGAGGGTGAAGGACGCGCGGGCGCTCATGAACCTGCACAACAACCGCTGCGGCAGGATGGTGAGTGGACGTGGGAGCCCCGCCGGGCGCAGCGGCTCCCTTCCCGCTCCGGAGCTCCGTGCGCCGCCGGTCCCATCCCGGTGCTGCCCCGGCTGCCTCCCTGGGAGCTGCCAGTCCCTCCAGTGCAGCCTCCTCCACCCCGAGCTCCTTCCTCGGGAGCTTCCAGGGCCAACCCTGCTCCGTGCAGGGCCAACCAYCCCGTTCCCAGCTCCAGGGCCCTTCCAAAGGGCACCCCCCCCTTTTGCAGCCCTCGCCAACAGGGAGAAGGCTCYGCAGCTCCCGGCCTCCCCTCGCTCTGCTCCTCTCCGCAGAGCTCGAGCAGGTCTCCTCTCCGCAGGCGGTCAAGCGCTTCCTGAAGCTGGAGTGCAAGTGCCACGGCGTGAGCGGCTCCTGCACGCTCAGGACTTGCTGGCTGGCCATGTCGGACTTCCGCAAGACGGGCGACCACCTGCGCAAGAAGTACAACGGGGCCATCCAAGTGACCATGAACCAGGACGGCACCGGCTTCACGCTGGCCAACAAGAACTTCAGGAAGCCCACGAAAACAGACCTGGTGTATTTTGAGAACTCGCCCGACTACTGCGTGATGGACAAGTCAGCAGGTAAAAAATAAAAGTAACCATTAATGGCGTAAAAGCAGGGAAGTGCCCTCAGTGGCACCA